GGCGGGGCGTGGAGAGGGTGACCCCGGGCCCCCCCTCCGTTAAGCGGCGGACACCGTGAAGGGCGCCGGGCCCCGCCGTGACCCCCCGCTCTGCCCCGCAGGTCCCGGCGCAGCGGCGATGCCCCGCGCGGGCCTCAAGAAGTGGGTGCTGCCGCCGGATTACAGCGGTGAGTACAGCGGCGATGGGGCTCCGCCCGCGGCCTTGCCGGGGATCCTCATCCCGGCGTTATCCCGGCAGGAATCACCATCCCGGAGAAGCCGAAGCTGAAGTTCATGGACAAGGTGCCGGCCGTGCCCAAGGTGCGGCGGGAGCCGCGGATGCTCCGTGACATCCGCGGGCCGTCCCGGGAGGCCACCGACTTCATCCAGGGGCAGTACGGGATCCTGGTGAGCGCCGAAGGGAGACGGGGGGGGGGAATTCCAGAGGCTGGGATTGGAGGGGGAGTGGGAACCCCCAGGGTGGAGACCCCCCGTGCTGCTGAGCCGTCCCAAAACGGCCAGGAACTGGAGGGAATTGATGCCAGAGTACCTCTGGAAAACTGATTTGCCTCCGTTGGGAATGCCCCAGCGTTCCCGGGAAGGGGCTCAGGAGTGTGACTCGCAGGTTAAGTGTCCCCAGGCAGGACATGGGACCCTTCTCCTTGTCCCTGGGTAGAACACAGAACCCTTTGTCCCTGTGCCGTGTCCCTGTTCCCAGGCAAGACACGGTTCCCTCTGTCCCACCCCGTATCCCTGAGTTATCCCACCCTGTCCCCATATCTCTGAGTTATCCTGCCCTGGGCAGGACACAGTTTCCTCTGTCCAACGTCCCTGTTCCCAGGCAGGACACAGTTCCCTCTGTCCCATCCCCATATCCCTGAGTTGTCTCACCCCATATCCCAAGTTATCCCACCCCATATACCGAGTTATCTCACCCCTTTATCCTTGATTTATTCCACCCCTTATCCTTGAATTATTCCACCCCTTATCCTTGAGTTACCCCACCCCATATCCCGTTACCGCCCCCATATCCCAAGTTATCCTACCCCATATACCGAGTTGTCCCACCCCATATTCCTAATTATCCCACCCCTTATTCTTAAGTTACCCACCCCCTATCCCTGCTTTATCCCACCCCCTCCATCCTGGGTTATCTCCCTCATATCCCGAGTTATCCCCCCCTATCCTGGGTTATCCTCTCCATTCCTGGCTTAGCACCGGGCGTGGGGCCGGGGGAGATCACCCGGGAGAGGGGGGGAAATAACTGAGGATATGGGGGGGATAACTCGGGATATGGGGTGGGATAACTCAAGGATAAGGGGTGGGATAAATCAGGGATATGGGGTGGGTAACTTAAGAATAAGGGGTGGGATAATTAGGAATATGGGGTGGGATAACTCGGTATATGGGGTAGGATAACTTGGGATATGGGGGCGATAACTTGGGATATGGGGTGGGGTAACTCAAGGATAAGGGGTGGAATAATTCAAGGATAAGGGGTGGAATAAATCAAGGATAAAGGGGTGAGATAACTCGGTATATGGGGTGGGATAACTTGGGATATGGGGTGAGACAACTCAGGGATATGGGGATGGGACAGAGGGAACTGTGTCCTGCCTGGGAACAGGGACGTTGGACAGAGGAAACTGTGTCCTACCCAGGGCAGGATAACTCAGAGATATGGGGACAGGGTGGGATAACTCAGGGATAAGGGGTGGGATAACTCAGGGATAAGGGGTGGGACAGAGGGAACCGTGTCTTGCCTGGGAACAGGGACATGGCACAGGGACAAAGGGTTCTGTGTTCTACCCAGGGACAAGGAGAAGGGTCCCATGTCCTGCCTGGGAACACTTAACCTGCGAGTCACACTCCTGAGCCCCTTCCCGGGAAAGCTGGGGCATTCCAAAAGGAGGCAAGTCAGTTTTCCAGAGCCACTCTGGCACCAGTTCCTGGCCGTTTTGGGACGGCTCAGCAGCGCGGGGGGTCTCCACCCTGGGGGTTCCCACTCCCCCTCCAATCCCAGCCTCTGGAATTCCCCCCCCCCCCGTCTCCCTTCGGCGCTCACCAGGATCCCGTACTGCCCCTGGATGAAGTCGGTGGCCTCCCGGGACGGCCCGCGGATGTCACGGAGCATCCGCGGCTCCCGCCGCACCTTGGGCACGGCCGGCACCTTGTCCATGAACTTCAGCTTCGGCTTCTCCGGGATGGTGATTCCTGCCGGGACAACGCCGGGATGAGGATCCCCGGCAAGGCCGCGGGCGGAGCCCCGCGCCTCCCATCGCCGCTGTACTCACCGCTGTAATCCGGCGGCAGCACCCACTTCTTGAGGCCCGCGCGGGGCATCGCCACTGCGCCGGGACCTGCGGGGTAGAGCGGGGGGTCACGGCGGGGCCCGGCGCCCTTCACGGTGTCCACCGCTTAACGGAGGGGGGGCCCGGGGTCACCCTCTCCACGCCCCGCC